CAGGAATAAAACTTTAACAAGGAAACAGGTCAATAAACAAATGGCAAAACATCATGTTTGTTATGGGACATTCTGCAGCCTATCTATCCATCCCAAGTTCTTCCACAAAATGCTGTCACGTTAACTCAGCTTTGATACAGATCATCTGGCACAATATTTATTATTTAACTATGAGTTCAGATCTCAATGAGTATGCCAATTATACTGCAGAACACAACTTGTTAACGGAATTTTGCTGTAACATTCTAACATTAATCACTTCACATAGTAAGTGCTGCATTGGGCTGAGCAGCTAGTCAAGTTAAAGAACATTTTTTTGGTCAACTCCCATAAACCTAGAGTTCACCAATCATGAAAAATGAAAGGACAGTGAAACAGTGCCAAAACCTAAAATTAGTCATACCTCAGAAAGAACTGAAAAAGTTACAAGTTAGGTCACTGAAAAGGAATCCATCATTTTTCACTGAAATTACCGTCTTACTATCTAATACATTACTTCTTTAAAAATACATACAGTTATATTGGAAGTGAGACAGAAGAATAGAGACTCTATAAGATTGATGATTTGACCTGTTAAATATTAAGATCCATATTTACAGCTCCTTAGCTCCAGGAACTTGATAATTTTGGACTGGCAAACAGCAATTTTACCCTTAAATCCAAAGGTACAGTGTAAGCTCATTTCAGTTTCCAAAAGCATTAGCTATCTGATAATACAGTGTCTTCTGTGAAATAAGCTCACAGTTTCTTAATTCCAGTAAGTATTATTCACATCAGAAAACAAGAACTGTAAAGGCACATTTTTAGCAGTTTTAGCAGCGAGCTACAAAGCCTGAATGACTTGTGGAAGCTACTGGTCTAGCGGTACCCATCAACATTGTGATACTATGGCGAAGCAGGAGTAACTTGTTTTATCATTGTCTGTATCGTTGTATTACTGTCACAGCGTCTCTCGTATGTCACTTAAAAATGAAAAGAAAGACCAGCCAGCGGGAATGCCCAGGTTATGTGTGTGAGCGTGCTGCTACAAATCAGGATTATTTTTTTTAAATCCAAAGAGAAAACACAAGAGCTAATAAGAAAAGAATTGTCTGGGTACCTACTGGTGATCAAGAAACAGAGAAAACAAGTTCCAGCAGGTTTCTTTGTTTTCTTCTAAACAGTCAAACCATTTCAACAGCAGGACATTGAATGCACTACAAAAAAAATCCCAACTACTCCGCAAGAACATGCACTCTTGCTATAACTGGGGCCAACTAAATTGAAGTGGTGCAGATACCATAATGAATGAGAAAAAAAAACAGAACTTAAAATCTTTTCTGAGGAAGCAGATTTGAACTTTGAACAGACTAACAACTAATTAGCTCACATCGTTTATAATAGGAAGTGAAATTAAGCATTATTAAGGATTTAATGCATTGTTAGCCATCCTGAACCAAATTCTATTGTTGCTTACACTTTGAAGAGATTATTTGTGGAATCCCCAGTGACTTCAACAGAGAAATTGCCAATATGTTTCTAAAATAAAGATACTGAACTTGAAGCTATAAGATTCACGATTGCTCTTGCGTGCTGGTCTTATTAAAACTTACATTCTCTTAAGCTTCTTGTACTGGGTAAAAGCTCCAGGGGGAATGATTTTGATGAGGTTTTGTTCCAAACGTCTGAAAACAAACAAAGTAATATACATGTTAACTACACAATTATAGGACAGGAATAACATTAAACATGATAGCAATTTTTCATATAAATATAAAACAATTTCATAGAGTTTTTATGCAAAATATGTTTTTCTTTTGAAAACCACTAAATGGAGAAAATACTGAGAAAATAATCTCATCGATTACACTAAATCTGTATAGAAAAAAGTCACAGGCTATAGAAATTGCACCTTTAAAGGTCATGGAATTAATAAAAAATAGCAGGTAAATTTTATTACTACTTAGTCAAAGTTAAGGTAGAAAATACAGATGGTTTCCTTGACTATCTGTTCTAAACAGAATGTAGGTATCCAAACTGAAATCTACGCTATGTTGTGACCTCTCAATAAGCAGATTAATAATACTATCAGAGCAACTCAGGAGCAACTATCTGTGGGAATATGCTGAAAAACAAAGTGGAATTCACTGCAACACAAATACAGATTTTTAAGGGCGAGGGGGAAGTCTATGTTAAAGCAGAGCAAAAAAGGACTGTATCTTCCTATTTTAACTACCAAGTACTGAAGGTGTTCTAAAATATGGTCCAGACAACATGAAAATGCGGTTGTTTTCATTTCTGAGATTTGGTTTGAAAGAAGTATTCTTTATGAAGTATCATAAATGCATGCATCACTAACATAAAATGTAAGCAGCTTTAAGATTCCGCATACAGTAACCAATAAGATTAATTTCTGTTCCTTCCCAGAAGTATTTTCAAGTCTTTGTCAGCAAGTTCCCGAGATTCCTGCTAAAAGGACTACCTTTTCCTCAGATGAACCCTAAATATTCATCTCAATTACAAATGTAAAAGTGGATCACCATACAACAAATTCAAATGACCACGGCAGCTAAAATTCTATAATCAGGGTTGGAACTGAAAGCAAAATTTGATTTTACCTAGCTCTTAGTTACTATTCAAACATTGTGTATTTTCCTCCAAAAACATCATAAAAAGAACAGCAAAAGTCTGTGGTTGGAAATGGTTTAGAATTGAAATACAAAACATACTGGAATGATGGAATGAATCACTCTAGTCATTCAGAGCTGCTGCAGCAATGCAGAGGGGAGAAAAAATTTTAAAACCAGGAATGGAGATAAAATGAGATGCAGGGAGAAGTAAATCATGTTTTTTAAAGGACTTGGGAATAATGTAGAGAAAATGCGCAAGGCCCATCAGCCCTCTATTGCACAGCAAATCCTTCTGTTGATCTGTGCTTTCAACAGAAAAAAGAAAAATCCCCTTGAAAATAAGATATTTTGCCAGCTCAGTTATACTCTGAGAAGCTATTTAAGTCATGAATATTGTGGTAGTAGCACAGTCAACTTGTACAGTCGATGTGCACGCGCTCTTTTATTTCCGTAGCAGTCTGTTTTAAAGGTTGTGATCAGAGTTAATTCTGTTCCTTGTTTTGTGATTTGAATTAGTGTCTGAGATTTCCCTTCCAGTTGGTCTAAATATAACGTGTTTCATTTCTGGCAAGTCCGCAGTGAAATGCAAATTGCTGTAAGCTTCAGCACGCTACTATTGTTGGGTGTTTGTCACCAGAATTAGCAGTACACGCACTCTTCCCATAAAACCTTTTTGTCAGCTTGCCAGTTTGGTGTTTAACTCCTCCCAAGTGTTTCTATGCAGACACTTCTAGGAACAAAAGAGGGCCATGCCTGTCCAATTCCCTTGCCTTATGGATGGAAACTGGGGGTTCAGACATGCTGTGCAACGGCATAGCAGTCCTTACAGGGAAATTCAAACATAGTGATAGGGGGAAACATGGCCCCCTTTTTATAATCACTTATAATTCCAAGGAAATTTTAGTGACTCAAGAGTGAGAATATATACAGAAATTTTGCCTCCAAGGGGCAAAAAAAGTCTAAATTGGAATAGCCACAGATCCCAACTAATAAGAAAAAATGAAGTTTCTAGAAAAGGTGGAGAGGAATACAGAAAAAGAGTTGTTTCAGAGAACTACCTTCTGAAGCAGTACTAAATTCTTCACCCTTTCCTACAAAATTTGCAGCAGATGGCCTGTACCAAAATAGATGGACAAGGCTGTTGTCATCGACTGCTGTATTTCCACCTTAGCACGTTGCATTTTTTTTTTATTGTATGAAGCTCTTTGTAAATGAAGAGCTGAAGACTACACCTGACACATTATGCTTAGTGCGCTACATTTTGCAGATGCTACCAGAGAAGTAACAAGCAGTACCATGTGCTCTCATGTGTTTGCCATCTTGGGCACAAAATGCAGCTGATCTTGGAGCATTAAATAAAGTGTAGCACTAAATACACAGGCATTTTAAAAGTATGAGGTACTAATCTGACTTCCGTTTATTTTTTTCATAAATGCCTGTTACAGATTGGCAGGCATAGGATGAAAAACACAACATAGTTACACAAATAAAATAGAAGAAAACAAATTATTTGTAATAATACTTTGTGCTTTCACCTCATCTGAGCTCATAAATGACACGTGAAGGACAGTACAGGATTAAAAACCGCTGGGAAACACCAGGTTTTTCCAGAAGGGGTGTTGGCAATTTCAACACAATGAAGGCCTCAAACCAGGACAAAGGCTTAATTATAAACTAGTGTTATTCATGATATAATGGGAAACTGCTGCTAGAGGTGCCATCATTCAAATAAAGTGAAAAACAGAGTTCTTACCTAGTGTTGCCATTTTTTTCTGCAAAAAGTGAAACGCTAATCTAAATTTTACAGCCACATTTTATTTCAGAGAAAATTACCTAGTTTATGTAGAACATGACCTCTTGAAAACTCTTTTTCATAGTCTATCCCTGCATACTACGAAGTGCTCTCATACACTATAAACCCACCTGTGCCAGTACAAAGCAACATCCGTGTGCTCATTTTTTTTGGTGTATCACCAGAATATACTATGAAATAATTTTACAACACATTTGAGAACTCTGTGCAAGAGACACAGTCCTAAAAGGCTAAATTTCGATCATCTGAACTACTATCCTACATACTTAAGATTTCTTATAACTCAATAAAATTTTCCTCGATTTTCCTCTGATATTTCATAATAAGTTCTATTTTAAAGACTCCACAAGTAGAATTCACAAAACTGATAAAATAAATTGGCCATGTTCAAACCTCTCAGGGACTTTTGTTCCTCCTCTCAGCTACCCGTTTCACTGTGCCATGTCGCCTGCTGCATCGCTTAGATGAACTGAAGCATATCTCTCCCCTTCCGACACGCAGCAATGCTCTGTCTGCCTCTCGAAGCTTTAATTTAGAGTCTTTGACAACAACATCAAAGGACAAGAACAATTTCCTTTCTCTTCTCTAATATACTATCAGAGATTGGGAAGTATGAAGGCCCAACGGATTCAGATGTATTTTTCTTGTAATAACATGATAGACAGGATAAAGTCCTCCTCCTTCCCACTGTCTTTAAATGACGTTGCAGCAATGAGAGCAAAGAGTAAACATATCAGAGAGAAAAAAAAAAAATCCAGAGGGAAACTATGCAGTTAAATATGAAAAACTATCTCAGAGTAAAGAATAAGCACTCAAATTCCCATGCTAATCCATCTCAAAGTTCACTGAGGTGCAAATCTTTTCATCACCTCCTCATCTGGCGCCTGTCCTGCTCACACCCAGGATGGCAAAACACAAAGGATAAAAACTCTGCCTAATGCAGCCTTTGTAGAGCCAGCTCACACTCTCAGGAGTGACAAAGCCATTTGTCTTGGAGAGTGATTCCCCCTGCAGAGTGGGGGAGACAGACATATTAATTTGGGCCTTAACTATCTCTCTTTCATTGAGGGAAAGAAAGAATTTGTTATTTGGGTCTCTAATGGAGCAGTTTGCTAGTAATTTTCCCATTTCAAACACCATCTCAGCTGCTAATGTGTAATGTTTTGTCAAGCTTACCTACCCATAACATAGACAAATCACTAGCTTGGAGAAAAAGAGAGAGGGAGTGAAGCATCAGTACCGATAATTTTTAGCTGTCAGATGAATAGAGCCTACAAATGAGACAGCCATGCTTTATTAACAGTGCCACCGAGCTCTTGCCTGAGACCTGTCAGAAACGTCCCTCTGCAGTCATGAACTTCCCTGCTGGGAGAGAGAGAAAGTGAACGAATGAGCCAGATTGCTCCCTGGATTACTCCCCGTGCTGAGGTTCTTTAGGGCTTGCATCACTCAGGCAGCCAATAACCAAAAGCAATCTCTGAGAGAGAGAAAGCGTAAGATCAGATTAGTGTGCAGCAGTAACCTATAGCACACTCGTGTCTGGCAGGATGCACACAACCTGCGTGAATGTTGTTGGGAAGGGCAAAACCCTCGCTCTTCTCCTGCCCCATAAGCAGGATTTGGAGGGAGCTGGTCGAGGACTGTCTGGGGGAAACAAGCAGCACGTGCATCCCCACCAGTGACAAAGCCCAGGGCTGGGGAGAACCATTTATATTAGGAAGGAGGAAACTTCTAGAGCACATAACAATAAAGAGAGAGACTGTTCCTCCTTGCCAAGGAGTGAGAACAACTGGATTATAAAAGCTGCTTGGACCATTATCTTACATCTCATATTTTGGCCTTACATATCTTATCGCACATTTTGGACTCTGATGAAGAAAAGTCCACAGATACATTTTCAGTATTTAAGAGGAATACATTATACTTGAAATCCAGTCTTCTTACTACAAATATGGGCTAGAGCTGATCCCTGTCCTGACCCCTTCCTTGCCTCTTCATTTGAAATAAAAGCTTTATTCCTACCATGCATAACAGATCTGGGTAGCTCCACTGAAGTATTTACCCAAAGACAGCCCTGGATAGGAGGCACCCTTGTAGGGAAGGAAGGAACCTGCCCTGCAGTTACGCAGTCAGAACCTGCAGCTTATTCTGCAGTGAGAAATGCAGAAGCTGCAGTCATTGCCCTTTACACCACAGGGCACTTCTCTGCAAAGTGCAACGCAAAAAAACCTGCAGTCCTGCT